CCATTTCTCCCTAAACATTTTAAGCATGAAAGTTTTATGAAACGGTACCCAAATATGCGATTACTGTATAGAATGAATTTTAATTTAAAAAAATTATTTAACACGAAAATTAAGCTGTTTACATCTTCCGCCTGAGAACAGTCACCTGTTGCTACCCAACGCAGAAACACAGCCACCAACTAGCAAAGAGAGGACATTAGCTAGCCAATATGATAAAGAAATAAATGATTATTTTGTTTATTTCTTTGCACATTTATTTGAACATTTCCATTGATTGTACAAGCACTTGGAAACTGTCCAATCCCTAGTTCATCAGGCATTTTCTTTTAGGCTGCGGGCATTCTCCTGGTCTGGCGCTGGTCTGTGTCTTCTAGGATATAATGTCAGCGATTTTTTGTTAAATTTGGGTTTCCAATAACGCCGCAGCAAACTCTTGTTTTTATGTCCACTATAACAGACAATCTCCTTTGCTTTTAACTTCAAAACATCAAATATATCAAACCATTAAACTCTCTCAAATTCCTCCAATTATCATAACCCCGCCCCTTATGCAAAACCAAACCAATCCCAGTTTATCCTGTTTATCATAAACAAAATCCACCTCAATTTTCAACATAAAGCATTACACAAAATCAATACCTCATCACTCCATACTCAACAACCATAAATCACAAACAGCTAGAACATGTAACTCCACATTCCCAAATTGACCTAATTTCAATAGCCCCGCCCCTTATGCAAAACCAACATCCATCCCCTGTTCTCTCTCTCCACTGGCGTTTGTAATCGTTTTTATTTTTAAATACATTTTAGCAAAGTCATGTATTTTAAAAATCTTAAGATTTCTATATTTATGTCTTTATTTAGTGGTTTCATAAGTGACAAAGGCTAAACTTTCTTGGAAAAATCTATTTTATGTAAACCATGTTTGTTATTAAATCATTTAGGGCTAGAATATGTTCATTGTCTTCCAATGAAAGAAGGGTTCCTTTCGCCGTAGTCGGGTTGACATTAGAAGCTTGCCATACCCAGACTGTTACACCAACGCATTAGCATGTTAAAGCGATTTCATTGAGGAGCCTAGCTTTCTTAACTAGTAAGTACTGTACTTACTTGGTTTTGGAGTGGGGGAGGTGTCTTTTGCTGGAAATCTCGCCCCCTTCTACGTTGAAAATACCTTTGAAACCAGTTTAATTCATCACAGCCAGCACTACCGCAGAGAGGGGGGTTGTACTTGCAGTGTATCGGTATACAGTAGATGTTTCGGCTGGAGCCGACTACTACGCCGCACAGGTATTATGTTCTTCGTTAATGTCCAAGCCGGAACACATCATTATATCTCATTTTGTATTTCTTTAAAAAGAAAAATCATTTGACCAGCCTAACAGTATTGTTGTTATTGTTTTTATCCTGAAAAGCGCTTTGAGGAGCCACCTTTAAAGGCACCATATACAATAAAGTTGATTATTAATACTATTGTTAATTTGCTGGACAGAGAGGTGAACATTATTACGCAGAAGACAAAGATAGCGATTTACGTTGCATTGTGCATTGTGCTGCTGTAATACAGTTTTAAATAATTAAAAGTCTAAACAGTATCAGCTTTATTACGCTGGGCAAATGTTCCAAGGTCAAATTCTTCCAGCACGGGGGTACTTTTAAAGCGGAGACGACGGCACCGAAATTTTTTGGCGCGCCTTCTCTTTAAAGCCCTGGCCAAATATGAAGACAGTACTTACAGTTATAATTCAAACGGAATTAAAAAGTACACAACCCAGTTACCATGGTGGTGCTTGTGATCATTGCGTTTAACCAACGAAACAGGGCAAAAAATCAGTCACATGACTCTGGGGCAGAGTTTCGAAAGCTTAACCTATCAGCAATAAAGCGAAATTTACTCGATAGGCTACCTCAAACTGTCAGTTACACGACTGTGTATGTCGCTTAAGCCACTCCCATTTGGCATTTTAGTTATGGAGGCGAGAAGACGCCCCCCCCAGGTGTCTGATTTGTCGCCACCTTTAACTGTTCGGTGACCGAATCGGAGTAGCTACAAGTACGAAATAAAGTTAATAAAGTAAATATTAACATATATTTTTGTGGTAAGAGGGCGCAAAACATCAGTATTTACTG